AGCTTTATAGATGCAGTAAGAGAGCCTCTCAAATAATTCTATATATAGTAATAACAAACAGCTAAATGCCCAGTTATAACTGGTAACAATGGGAAATATACTTTCTATTTCTGAATCTGGATAACATTTGTCCAACACTTACTAAACTTACAGCCCCGCTGCCAACATTTTTTTGTTTTGGTTTGAGTAGGGATGGGAATCCAATCTAATCCTCCATCCATTCCTTTTGGTGAGATTTCACTTTACTTCCTGTCCTGGTGACCACTCAGGAATTGAGGAGGGTTTCCCAATGGAGATATAGAGAGCAAAAAAAGCCTGATAGATTTCACCATTCCCAAATTTACTTTAAAAGCTGCTTTATTTTATCTGTTCTCTATTTCAAGAGATTTTGCTAATTTCCTGATTCAATAATCAAATAGAAAGTGAGGCCAAATTTACGCATGGGTTGCGTAAAAATCAAAAAAGGTTCAAATCCTTCCCTATCCTTTCCAAAAGAAAAAGAAAAAAAAAAGTGCTATCTGATTAACAATACAGTAAATATGATGGTACTGCAGAGTTTTTTTTTTTAACCATTTGAGTTCCAGGTGCTGTTTTAAAATGGCACAGGGTCAGTGGCTGTTTGGCCTAGCGCCATTTTAAATTGGCACATTGAGTCAACAGTTCTCAAGTTCTGATGGTTTCTAGTGATGGATCCTCTGTATGCCAGTGACAGACTGAGTCTAGCACTAAGCACAACAGCTGAAACAGAAAGCTCCCAGGCTTCCGATCCTTTTACGGTTCACTCGGTAGGAGTAAGCTGTAGAAGGGAATGTAGGCACATCGCCTCCGCAATGTGTTTATATCAGGAGTTTAGTGACATCATGGTACCTTCCTGACAGTGAAAAGCCTCAAGCAGAACTGTTGCAGTTTTCATCAGTATTTCCCTGCAGGCTTATTGCAGCCAGCAATAGATCACTAATAAAAGTGGTCTGTTGCTGCACAGCTGCATGGAGGGTCTGGATATGGTCACCTCTGACCAGATCCAGAACCCTCATTAACATGGAATTCCTGTCTAATGTTATGTCCCCCCTTTCCCTTCCTAAAAAAAAAACCTATGCTGCCTAAGCTGTGTAAGAAAGATGTGTTCACTTACCTATTTTCAGCCTTCTCTGGTCCAGCCAAGTGATCCCCTGTATCAGTGAATGACAGCTGCAGGGGAGAGGGTGCTTGAGCAATGTGGAGAATTCCAGGGAGTGGTGACATCACCCATAGGATCCCATGTCTTAGTTGTCGACTCGCCCTCCTCTCATCTGCAGCAGCAGCCACTGACTGACACAGGGGAGCCAGAGCTGCAGAACATGTGACTGGACCAGAGCAGGCTTAAAAAGATATATATATACACAGGTGAAACTCAAAAATTAGAATATCGTGCAAAAGTTAATTTATTTCAGTAATGCAACTTAAAAGGTGAAACTAATATATGAGATAGACTCATTACATGCAAAGCAAGATAGTTCAAGCCATGATTTGTCATAATTGTGATGATTATGGCTTACAGCTCATGAAAAACCCCAAATCCACAATCTCAGAAAATTAGAATATTACATGCAATCAATAAAAACAAGGATTGTACATAGAACAGTATCAGACCTATGAAAAGTATAAGCATGCATATGTACTCATTACTTGGTTTGGGCCCCTTTTGCAGCAATTACCGCCTCAATGTGGCGTGGCATGGAAGCTATCAGCCTGTGGCACTGCTGAGGTGTTATGGAAGACCAGGATGCTTCAATAGCGGCCTTCAGCTCTTCTGCATTGTTCGGTCTCATGTCTCTCATCTTTCTCTTGGCAATGCCCCATAGATTCTCTATGGGATTCAGGTCAGGCGAGTTTGCTGGCCAATCAAGCACAGTAATCCTACGGTCATTGAATCAGGTTTTGGTGCTTTTGGCAGTGTGGACAGGTGCCAAGTCCTGCTGGAAAATAAAGACAGCATCCCCATAAAGCTTGTCGGCGGAAGGAAACAGGAAGTACTTCAAAATCTCCTGGTAGACTGCTGTGTTGACCCTGGACTTAATGAAGCACAGTGGACCAACACCAGCAGATGACATGGCCCCCGAAATCAACACAGACTGTGGAAACTTCACACTGGACTTCAAGCATCTTGCAGGGTGTGCCTCTCCATTCTTCCTCAATACTCTGGGTCCTTGGTTTCCAAATGAGATGCAAAAGTTGCTCTAATCAGAAAAGAGGACTTTGGACCACTGAGCAACAGACCAGGTCTGTTTTTCTTTAGCCCAGCTAAGATGCTACTGACGTTGTTTGTTGTTCAGGAGCGGCTTGACAAGAGGAATACGGCATTTGAAGCCCATGTCTAGGATCCGTCTGTGTGTGGTGGCTCTTGATGCACTGACTCCAGCCTCAGTCCACTCCTTGTGAAAGTCCCCAACACTTTTGAATGGCCTTTTCCTGACAATCTTCTCCAGGCTGCGGTCATCCGTGCTGCTTGTGCACCTTTTTCTTCCACACTTTTCCCTTCCACATAACTTTCTATTAATGTGCTTTGATACAGCACTTTGGGAACATCCAACTTCTCAGCAGTCTTTCCCATGATTGTAATTCCTACTGAACCAGACTGAGAGACCATTTAAAGGCTCAGGAACCCTTTGCAGGTGTTATGGCTTAATTAACTGATTAGAGTGGGACACTTTGAGCCTAGAATATTGCACCTTTTCACAATATTCTAATTTTCTGAGATTGTGGATTTGGGGTTTTCATGAGCTGTAAGCCATAATCATCACAATTATGACAAATCACGGTTTGAACTATCTTGCTTTGCATGTAATGAGTCTATCTCATATATAAGTTTCACCTTTTAAGTTGCATTACTGAAATAAATGAACTTTTTCACGATATTCTAATTTTTTTAGTTTCACCTGTGTGTATATATATATATATATATATATATATATATATATATATATATTTATATATATTTATATATACATACACAAACACATACAGTGTGTACGTGTGTGTGTGTATATATATATATATATATATATATATATATATTCAGTCTTGAGGTCACAACAATGATGCCCAATGATCTGGTTGACATTAACATTTACTACGCAAGCATCAAAAGCTCACAAAGTGAACACAATGGGTTTTATTTATTGAATCTGGAGAATGTAAAATCAGGCTTACGTCTACATAGCAACCAATTAGCTTCTAACCTCAGCTTTGTTCACTTAAGCTTTGGCAATAAAACCTGGAAGCTGATTGATTTCTATGCAGAAGTGAGCCTGAGTTTGCACTATCCAACTTTAGTAAATAAACCCCAATGTCATTGATATTTTTAGTAATCACAAACCTATAAAAAAAAGTCACCATTGTACTAATTTTTGTCCTCATCAACCCCCTCAATCAAAACAATTTAGACAGTAGCTTTTTTTCCTGCTTGAGTCTTAGTATTCACATGCCCTCTGTTCTCAGCTGCATAGAGAGCTGGGGAAGGAGAAACAGCAGGACACTAGTCTTCCAAGTGAATGACTGTGAATGGGGGAGTGTCAGGACAAGTCTGATGTTTGGACGAGTTCCCAGCACAGCTAGGGAACTGACCACTCTGTGGTCTCACTGGAATTGATTTGCTAAAACTGGAGAGTGCAAAATCTGATGTAGCTCTGAATAGAAACCAATCAGCTTCCAGTTTTTTTTTGTCCAAGCCTAATTCAACAAGCTGAAGTTAGAAGCTGATTGGATACCATGAACAGCTGCGCTCGCCAGTTTTGGTAAATCAACCCTGCTGTGCTCTTTGCCTAGTACTCTCATGCAAGCCTCACTGGTGTCCCAGTTTAGTGCCCTTGTGTCCCTGATTACTGCCCATAGAATTCAATAATAAACAAAACAGCCAGCCCTATAACCTGTCCCAAGTGCACACAATCTAATTTCCATACACCATACCAATGTCCTAATCACCGCCATAACAGCATCCTGATTACCACCATACCCCATTCCAATGCCCTAATCACCACCATATGCCATACCAGCACCCTGATCACTGCCATACCCCAAACCAGCATCCTGATCACCACCATACCCCATATCAGTGTCCTGTTCATCATCATACTCCATATCAGTTTTTGAATCACCGCCATACTTCATACTAGCATCCTAATCACCATCATACCCCATACCAGCCTTCTGATCACCATCATACCCCGTACCAGCTTCCTGATCACCCCATACCCCTTACCAGTGTCCTGATCACTGCCATACCAGCATCCCAATTACCGCCATACCTCATGCTAACATCCTGATCACCGCCATAACCCATACCAGCTTCCTGATCACTGCCATACACCATACTAGCATCCAGCATTTTAGGGTCTCAAATGATCAATTTTCAAATATATATCCCATAGTTTGTAGACTCTATAGCTTTCACACAGACTAAATAATATACACGATTTTGGGTTATTTTTACTCCACAAATGTAGCAGAATACAATTTAGCCTAAATTTATTAATTAAATATTATTTATTTGCAAAGTTTTATAACAAAAAACAAAGCAAAACATGATTTTTTTTTTTCAAAATCTTCACTATTTCAGCTTTATGTCTTTTGGAATGAATGGCTAAAGCACAAGAATGTGTATATACTTTATTTTTGTGTGTATGCAGAGAACCATGATCCCGAAATCTCTTTTTGGGAATGTACTGCCACCACATTGTGCAATGCATGAGCAAATGGGGTGAGCTAACAGGTATTTAAAACTTTTGGATCTGTCAATAAACACTATTCAAAAGACCACATAAGCTCATGGGAAACATATTTAATAACATGCATCATAAAAGCCTGTTACTGCATGGCCCAGAAGTGTGAAAGGGCCCATCAGAGTCCTGATGCAATGGCTCACAGTCATGTGACTGGCTGCATTAGCAGATATTTTAAAATAGGTTTGAAAAGGGAGTTTAACAATTTATGTAAAAAAATAAGCATAATGAAAATATTTATACCTTGTTCACCATTACAGAATTCTGAGGAAAATGAAATATCATCTACAGCAACATAGCCTGCTTGGATGCCATTAAATGCAACTTCAAATACAACCTGAAGTGAAAGGAATGAGATAAAAAAAAGATAATATTTTTAAACGCTGTCAGTAAATCATTTTTGTTTAATCTGAATGCAAATATAAATTACAAATTAATCATTGTGGGGAACAAAAAAAACTAATATTACACAGGTAGGGAAGCATTTAATATAAAAACATAATTATTATTTTTACCCATCTTTATTATAAGTTGTTCTGCATTCAAAAGAATGAAGCAGAACCTCTGACAGACTGAATGAATTAAAGAATATGTAAACCCAATATTTCATATTCCTGATATACACTCACCAGCCACTTTTATAGGTACACCTCGTCCAGGTTGGACCCTTTTTTGCCTTCAGAACTGCCTTAATTCTTCATGGCATAGATTCAACAAGGTGTTGGAAACATTCCTCAGAGATTTTGGTCCATATTGGCATGATAGCTGAAGATTTGTCGGCTTCACATCTGTGATACAAATCTCTCGTTCCACCACTTCCCAAAGGTGCTCTATTGAATTGAGATTTGGTGACTGCGGAGGCCATTGGAGTACAGTGAACTCATTGTCATGTTCAAGAAACCAGTTTGAGATTATTTGAGCTTTGTTACATTGTGCATTATCCTGCTGGAAGTAGCCATCAGAAGATGGGTACACTGTTGTTATAAAGGGATGGACATGGTCAGCAACAATACTCACGTAGGCTGTGGAGTTGAAACGATGCTCAACTGGTATTAAAGGGCCCAAAGTGTGCCAAGAAAATATCCCCCACACCATTACACCACCACCACCAGCCTGAACAGTTGAGACCTGAACCATCTTACAAGGCAGGATGGATCCATGCTTTCATGTTGTTTATGCCAAATTCTGGCCCTACCATCTGAATGTAGTAGCTGAAATCCAGACTTATCAGGCCAGATAACATTTTTTCGAATCTTCTGTTATCCAGTTTTAGCGATCCTGTGTGAATTGTAGCCTCCGTCTCCTGTCCTTAGCTGACAGGAGTGGCACCCGGTGTGGTTTTCTGCTGTTGTAGCACATCTGCTTCAAGGTTCGACATGTTGTGCGTTCATAGATGGTGTTCTTTAAACCTTGGTTGTAACAAGCGGTTATTTGAGTTACTCTTGCCTGTCTATCATCTCAAACTAGTCTGCCCATTTTCCTCTGACCTCTGACATCATCAAGGCATTTTCGTCCACACTACTGCCACTCATTGGATATTTTCTCTTGTTTGGACCAATCTCTGTAAACCCTAGAGATGGTTGTACATGAAAATCCCAGTAGATCAGCAATTTTTTAAATACTCAGACCAGCCCGTCTGGCACCAACAATCATGTCACGTTCAAAGTCACTTAAATCCCCTTTCTTCCCCATTCTGATGCTCGGTTTGAATTTCAGCAAGTCATCTTCACCATGTCTAGATACCTAAATGCATTGAGTTTATGCCATATGATTGGCTGATTAGCAATTTCTAAGTAATTGAACAGGTGTACCTAATAAAGAGGCTGGTGAGTGTATGTATGTACCTGCTGTACCACATACTTGTATGAAAAAGTATCTTGTTCTTTTTGTATTGCTTCCTTTGTCTGAAATCCCTGGGGTGCCTGCTAGTCCCTCTACTTTCGTATTAAAAACTGACCACACTAGGCAGGAGAGCACAGCATCTTTGTCCTGACCCCACCCCCCCCCCCCACACACACACACCCCCCCCCCCCCCCCCCCCCCCCCCCCCCCCCCCCATCGATGATCTCTTCATTCAGGTGCAAAGTCCCAATTTTTTGTTCAGACTGCAATGTCAATATCAACTTCAGTGACAGAACTTAAAGTGAAGTTATCCTTTAAAATCAAAGAGGCTCATGCATACAAATTAGAAGAAGGAAGCACGTCCATGGAAATCAACTACAGTATACAACACCAGTTGCAAGACTTCAAGAACTTAACATGTACAGTCTGGAGGAAAGAAGGGAAAGGGGAGACATGACTGAAACTTTTAAATACATCAAGGGGGTGAATAAGGTTCAGGAGGGCAGTATTTTCAACCCGAAACCAAAATCATGAACACGGGGACATGACCTTAAACTAACTGGAGGAGAATTCAAAACTAATCTCTTTCAGTACTATTTTACTGAAAGAGTAGTTGATGCTTGGAATAAACTTCCAGCAGAGGTAGTGAGCCAGTCAACAGTAAATAGCTTCAAACATGCTTGGGACAAGCATAGACCTATACTCAAACAAGAAAGTTAACAGAAATAAAAAAAAAAGCAGGCAGACTCGATGGACCACTCAGTCTTTTTCTGCTGTCACTTTTCTAGGTTTCTATTTTCTTTTGTCTAGTAGAAAGTTCTCATTTGCTTGATTGGTAATCTACCAATTGTGGGGCAGAAATTGCCATGATAGAAATGAAGAAGCAGTACTGGTAAAACAGTGTACAATATCTATTAACCAGCATATCATATCTGCATAGTATTTTTCTGAAAACATTAATTTCACCTTTCCTACATTAAACTGCTGAAGCAAAACGATTTAAATAATATCGATGCATAACACCAGCCTTACCTCTACTGGGAATAATGCATTTAGGTTAACCTCTGCCAGGTTCCATTCCCCTTGCCGTACATCATTCATTTTCCAGATTTCCTCATAGCTGCCATGCAAGTCTCTAGTGTAGACCATAAAAACATTGCTGCTTGCACGCTGAATTCGATAATAAAAAGAAAGACAGCCAGATATAGAAGTTACAATTAAAGGGGAGACCAACTGGGCTACTTCTTGGAACTGCTTGGCATAAACGGAGTCAACATACATATAGTGACCTATGATTAAAAAGAAGACATAGTTAAATACAGGACTCTAAAACATTTACAATATGTTAATAACATAGCAACGTTTGATAAAGGTGGTACAAATCTCAAGTGTAAGCTCCCTCAAACAACAGGCTATCTGCTATTCTGATGGATGGCATATTACACTAGAGGGCTCATTATCCAAAGCAATATTTTGGGTCATTGGCATAAATGCTATTTGCTGTCAGATGTCTGCCAACATGCAGTTGTGAAGGAACGCTTGTGAGCCCTTAGGAATTATCTGGATTTCTGCATGAATTCCTCTTAAAATTTGTTTTGATATGCATCTAGGTCATAATAGCAAAGATGGACTTATTTATCAGAAAACACACATTTCACTTTGCCTTTCCTCTACTGAACAAATGGATTAACCATCTCATGACCAGAGGTCATCAATACCTAGATGCCCAGATCAAATTTAGCCATCAGTAAGCTTTGGTTGCCAATAACTTACTTAAAAAAAGGCTTTTATTTATTACAATCTGTTAAAGTGTCATTAAAACCACATCAATAAAAGCTAACAGTGTATGCTGTTGTAGCACTACCCTCGTAATGGCCACTGCGTTTGATTGGGTCCCCCTAAACTTTGCACGGCCAGGCAACACGCATTCTTCCACACTTGTATTTTCATAGTCAGTAAAACAGTTCTTGAACTGTTTTTTTTTGTTGTTTTTATTAAGGGGTTAACAGCTTGGATGGGGTATATGGGATTCCCAAGGAACTGTCGAACTTGAGGATGAACATCTTAGCAATTATGTACAAAAAAAGTGGACTGGCAAAAATAAAGCACTGTCCCTTTTTGGTGTACCTCCTCAGACCCCTGGATGAATCTTCCTCTTCACCCAGCTTTGCTGAGGATCCCTGAGCAAGGAGGTGTCAAGAGCTTGCAGTTAAGCAGTCCCAGGTGAAGACTAGTTGGGTATTGCACTTGACCGCCCTCTGCCCTTATCCGGCCTATTGGGTGTAGGAGTACTCACACTGTCCTTGCCTGCTAGCGTGGTGGGTTGATAGCTACCTTCAGGCCTTATGCTGGGCTGGCTGCTTCCCTGCTAACAGGTTGTCTTCCCTAGGAGACCCTGAGGCAGTAGAGATCCTCCCATACAGCCTGTAGATAGGCTCCTATCCCTGGGGGCCCCTCCCAGGCTCCACATTCTAGCCTTCTCTCAATCCATCGTCCCAAACTCCCCTCTCTCCCTAGGCTCTGTCATATTTGAGAGTTGCCCTGGTCACCATGCCCAGCCTCCTGCCAGGGGATTTGCCAAGATCCATCAAACATGCAGATCTGGGCCTCCTTTCCTCCCACTCCCCTGTTCCAGAAAGTTCTCTAGTTTCTGGAAAGGTGGGAGGGCTCCAGAAGCCCTGACCTGTAGAACCTCCCAGCCTGTACTGAGATGAACTCCTGCTTCACTCCCAGGCTTAGTCATCCCAGGCTGCTACTCAGCTTCTACCTAAAAAAGAAAACAACAAAACATATCTAGCTAACCTGGATGGTGTTACACTGTATTACATGCTGTTTATACTCACTCAGTCACTATGGAATTTGTTTTCTGCAAAAAAACCTGGTTGATCCTAATTAAAAAATCACCGCTCTCCCAGTCCAGTCTGTGTTGTTACTATGTCTTTGACTAAGCCCTGATTTGCGGGGCGAAACATGTCAAAGGGTGTGGCTTGTGGAGTGGGGTAAGACTGAGGCTATCTCACACATATTAACAATACGGACTAGACTGGGAGAACAGCTATTTTTCTACATATACTACACAGTACTGGATGGTGATAGTTCATGCTGGCATCCTATTTCTGAGTGCCAATGGGACAATAAACATCTTCCCTTTTTGCTTAGAGCAACACTACAAGTATAAGCTGGTTGATCCTGCTGCTCTAGATCCCCCCCACCTGTCCATGTTCCCACTGCAGTTGTTGGATTTTGTAGAGCAGTGTTGGCGTAGAGTATTTTCTCCCTATTATATCTGAGCAGCCCATGTGACTATTGAGTCACACAGGTGGGCATATACACAGTGGTAAATGACAGCCCACTCCCTCCGTCCTCCTCCATGCTCACCAACCAGCTAAACAAAATGGGAGTGGGATATTACATGTTGATTGATTGAGGTTTCACCTCCCTGTTATTCTAAGACACAGGCTGCAGGGGTATGACACAGCCTGTGACTGACAGAAATCCATCCACACCATGTTATTGTCAAAAAATAATAAATATTTAATTTCACATATACGATATATATATTTGTTAGACAATTTAAAACACTTTATTGATATTAATTGTTTATTTTTTACTCTGTATCCCAAAGGCTGTTTTTTTTTATTTTGAACATGTGACCAGCAGCAGAGGACTAGAAGCTCCTCCTACCACTGTTTCCCTGCAGACAGGCTGGGAACGAGCTGGGTCATGTGACAGCTGTATATCGATTAGGAAATCTATCCTCATACAGAAAGATAAGGGATAGTGTAAATTAAACAGTTTGTGCTTAGTATCACTTTAACAATTGCCCTTCTCTGAAGTATTCTTATTATAGTCTGACAAATGGATCACAAAAAGTGAAAACAAAATAATTAATAAGGTATTATATTAAAAAGTATTATATTTTAAATACTGTATTGTCCATTGAAAAATGTATTTCTCTGGGTACACCAAATGCACAAAGAAAGCAATACACTAGCTGTTGTCACTGTTATTGACAGCTGCTAACAAACACAGCTGACGCAGTGAAAACAGTTTCATAAACCACACTTTTTGGTTCTTGATGAGTGGAGATCTGGATTTATCAGGTGTCACAGCTAGAAGCACACAGCATTACATGCTCCTAGCTGCAAGGCAGAAGGTAGATTAAAGTGGTTGTAAACTTCTGCCAAAAAATATGAACAAATCATATCCCTTTATAGTGTGTATTTGTCTCAATCCAGGATACTAAGTGTCATTTCTGTTTGCTGCCTCATTCCTCTGCTATCTGTATGAGTCACTTCTGACATGTTTTCCTGAGAGATAAAAAGGTGATGGGGAGAGAGCTTCAGCACACAGCCTGTGATTGACACCCTCAATTATGTTCCTGTGTGCTGTGTGAAGGGGTGTGTGTCCCTTTCCTCCAATCAGCTCCCACTGAGCTCTGCAGAGTATAACTTCAGCCCCCGGCCCCCTGCTTTTTGAAAGTTTAGACAAGATGTAAAAATTCTACGCTTTGAAAGACTGTAGTGAAGAAAGGCCGTAGATAAACTGGTACAACTCATCTAGGAAGATTTGTCTCACTCTTTGTATTACCTGAGGCCAGTCATTTCACTGGGTATATGTAAGGGTTTACAAGCACTTGGCACAAGGCATCATGTTAATCACTTTACAAACGCGCTATAGCCGAATGAAGGCTACAACGTGATTGTTCAGTTCTGGGAGAGCGTCATATGATGTCCTCCCAGAACACGCTCCCAGCAGCATGCACCCGGCACTGGCAGTGATTGCTGTGTCCTATGGACACAGCTGATCACATGACAAGGTAAAAGGCCTTTTACCACATGATCAGCTGTGTCCAATGACACAGCAGATCACAAAGTAAATACAGTTGCCGATAACTGGCAAATGATACAGCAGATTTGCACTGATAATCAGGGCACTGATGATCAGTGCCGTGATCATCAGTGCCACCTATCAATGCCCATCAGTGCCACCCACCAGTGCCCCACAGTGCCACCCATCAGTGCCACCCATCAGTGCTGCCCATTAGTGTAGCCCAGCGGTTTTGCCCATCAGTGGCCATCAGTGCCACCAGTCAGTGCCACCAGTCAGTGCCCATAAGTGCCGCCTATTAGTGCCCATCAGTGGCGCCTTTCAGTGCCCATCATTGCTGCATATCAGTGCACCATCATCAGTGCCTCCTCATCAATGCCCACCAGTGATCAGTGCCACATCATCAACGCAGCCTATCAGTGCTGCCTAGCAGTGCCCATCAGTGCTGCTATCAGTGCAGCCTCATCAACGCACATCAGTGAAGGAGAAAAATTATCTATTTGCTAAATTTTATAATAGAAACAAAAGAAAAACTTTTTTTTTTAATTTGTTTGCTCTTTTTTTTTGTTTATAGTGCAAAAAAATAAAAACCCCAGTGGTGATTAAATACCACCAAAAAAGCTCTATTTGGGTGAAAAAAAGTATAAACATTTCATATGGGTACAATGTTGCATGACCGCGCAATTGTCATTCAAACTGCAACAGCGCTGAAAGCTGAAAATTGGCCTGGGCACGAAGGGGGTAAAAGTGCCCAGTAGGCAAGTGGTTAAGGAATGTAAATCTACAGACTGCAGGAAGGAAGGAGTTAAACTATCAAGGCAATTGAAAAGAACACATAAACCCACTTATTCATTTCTTTTTAGCTGTTGTTCAGATTTTGGCAGTGGTTACACTTATCTAGGACCATTCCTGTGTGCCGAACAGTTTTGGTTTTGTATATTTATGGATGTCTTGTTCAAACAGCATTGCAAGACTGAGGTTCGGACTTGGCCAAGCTTACAACTGTAATTACATAGCACGTTATAGAAATGTACCATATTTGTTAAACTGATGGAAAAATAGTTATATTCAAGAGAAAAGAACAGCTGCATATCTATTTCCTGCATGGAGACACTAGTAACATGAAAATGACTAAGTTCTAAAATACAGATGTAACTGATTTTACTTATATTGGTGAGCCAAGACATGTGCAGTCCATCCCATCAGTGAATGCAAGCTGTCTAGCTAGCAGGTTCAGTCTTATGTTGAAAGTTTATTTTAAAAAAAAAACATCCGGTCAAGTATACATTTACCAAACAGAAAATTGTTAAATCAATAGTATACTAGCAAACGTGTACCCATTCCTGAGCTGGTACATTTGTAGAATGGATCAGATTGTCAGAGAAGAGTGTAGTGTGCAGGTCGTGGTGGACAGAGGCAGCAGAGGGCACTTGTGGAGGAATGGAGCTGATGATTGTCAGAGCAGAGTGTAGTGCACAGGTAGTAGAGTGGTGGGGGACAGATGCAACATAAGGGACAAAAAGTAATGTTTTCAGCTGCTTTGGTGTTAATGAAATTAACAACAGATGCACTAGATGGGCAACACTGAGATGATCCCCAAAACAGGAATGGTTTTACAGGTGGAGGCCACTGATTTGTTTTTCCCTACTCATCTTTTCTGACTGTGTTTCACTAGTTTTTCATTTGGTTAGGGTCAGTGTCACTACTGGTAGCATGAGGCGATATCTGGACTCTACAGAGGTTGCACAGGCAGTCCAACTCCTCCAGGATGGCACATCAATACGTGCCATTGCCAGAAGGTTGGCTGTGTCTCCCAGCACAGTCTCAAGAGTATGGAGGAGATTCCAGGAGACAGGCAGTTATTCTAGGAGAACTGGACAGGGTCGTAGAAGGTCCCTTAACCCATCAGCAGGACTGGTATCTGCTCCTTTGTGCAAGAAGGAACAGGATGAACACTGTCAGAGCCCTACAAAATGACCTCCAACAGACCACTGGTGTGAATGTCTCTGACCAAACAATCAGAAACAGACTTCATGAGGGTGGCTTGAGGGCCCAACGTCCTCTAGTGGGCCCTGTGCTCACTGCCCGGCACCATAGAGCTTGATTGGCATTTAATATTGAACACCAGAAATGGCAGGTCCGCCACTGGTGCCATGTGCTTTTCACAGATGAGAGCAGGTTCACCCTGAGCACATGTGACAGACGTGAAAGGGTCTGGAGAAGCCATGGAGAATGCTATACTGCCTGTAACATCGTTCAGTGTGACCGTTTTGGTGGTGGGTCAGTAATGGTCTGGGGAGGCATATCCATGGAGAGACACACAGACCTCTACAGGCTAGACAATGGCACCCTGACTGCCATTAGGTTTTGGGATTAAATCCTTGGACCCATTGTCAGACCCTACGCTGGTGTAGTGGGTCCTGAGTTCCTCCTGGTGCCTGACAATACCCAGCCTCATGTGGCAAGAGTATGCAGGCAGTTCCTGGAGCATGAAGGAATTGATACAATTGAATGGCCCCCATGCTCGCCTGACCTAAATCCAATAGAACACCTTTGGGATATCATGTTTCGGTCCATCTGATGCTGCCAGGTTGCATTTCAGACTGTCAAGCAGCTCAGTAATGCCCTGATCCAGATATGGGAGGAAATACCCCAGGACACCATACGTCATCTCATTAGGAGCATGCCCAAACGTTGTAAGGCATCCATACAAGCATGTGGGGGCCATACAAACTACTGAGTAGCATTTTGAGTTGCTGCAATTCAATTTCAGCAAAATGGACTAGCCTGCTGCATCATTTTTTCACTTCTGTTTTTGTAGTGTCTGAATTCAGTCCTCTGTAGGTTGATAATTTTCATTTCCATCAAACGATGGGGCATCCTTACGTTCCTAACACATTATCCAGTCCATATCTGTATAGATATCCAGCATGATATTTTTCCCCATTGAGATCTGATGTTTTCAAAGTGTTCCTTTTTGAGCAGTGTATTCTCTAATGATTTTCACATTTCCTTAAAAAAAAAAAAATTGTGTTCCTTTTTCAGATGTTTTATTCTGTGGTTATGTGATCACACAACCTCTATTCACGCCCCTCCACACAAAGTTGGGGGGCTGGATGCATAGTAGGCAGGCAGTCTGTATAGGACATCACACGTAGCAGGGAAGTATGCTGCCTGGGATCAAGGTTAGGTGGCTGGGAGGGATTCATGGTGAATCCGCGTTGGATGAAGTGGCTGGGAGTGATGCAGAAGGGTTGATTTACTAAAACTAGAGAGTGAAATATCTGGTGCAGCTGTGCATGGTAGCCAATCAGCTTGTAACTTCAGCTTGTTCAATTAAGCTTTGACAATAAAAAAACCTGGAAACTGATTGGCTTCTATGCAGAGCTGAACCAGATTTTGCACTCTCCAGTTTTAGTAAATCAACCCCAGAGTGTCTGGAGAAATGCGCTGTGAAAGGGTGGTGAGGTGGTTGTGAAGGATTCAATGTAGGTAGTGGGCATGAGATGGCCAAGGAGGAATGCAGTGTAAGTGGGGAGAGGGAGAAGGGACTGTTAAGTATTTGAGGTGAATGGGGGGTGAGGTGGCTGGGAGGGATGCAGTACGAATGGGTACGGGTGTGTTTCGATGGCCGAGTCATGCTTAATAGACAGACTTACCATTCTTGGCTCCAGCTCCATGCAGTTACAGGGAAGTCTTTGGTTCCAGACTTAGCTTGCAGTTTTTTTTTCTCACATGACATAGTTAGATACGCCTGGGACAAAACACCTCCCTGTAGCTGCTGAGCTAATTATAGATTAAATTTATTGCTGTTAATTTAAACTGTATGGAAATCCAACATTTTTGGATACAGTAGAGAATGCTTAAGAACCTTGTCAGGCATTTTTGCTTTTTTTTTTTTGTTCTTTCAGGGAGGTGTACTTTCATGTCCTATCCCACAGACAGAAGAAAAAACTTTCTGTCCCATAGAAAGAAGAAAAAATAACAGTAAATCTCTTGAAGCAAGGTGTCACCAGACCAAATGTCCCCAGAGCAAATGTTCCCAGTGGAAGGTTAACCATCACCTACCATCTCATTTAGATTGTTACTAATCATATCCCAATACAGATTTTCCACATCGGGAGATGAACCAATGGATCAGGGGAGTGTTAAAATACAGACAAACTAAGAGCATGCACTTTATGATGCATTCCATCAAGTTGCAGTGTTACCTTTATGCATTGATCCTATAATACTATTACATGTGTATTAATGTTTGGAAAATATTTTTGTTCTTTTTTTTAGTCATTTTTTTATGTGTTGATTATTTTTTGATTTTACCTGTTTTAATGTCACTCTATCAGTTTGTTATTGGAAATAACAGTCCATGTGAGGTTTATCATGTAATCTTAAATATTGCTTTGCAGAATTACAAAATACACTGCCTGCTCACTTGATCACTATTGGAGGGAGAATCTACAAATCAAGACATAAAATTCAATAATGAAAATGCCACTTTAGAAATTATTTTCAAGGATTTCCAATAAATGTGTTACTGAAATACGCTATAATGTATTTTTACATATACTTTATTCCAGTTGCCCTATGTCAACCACTCACTATTTTTTTTCCATTTCCAACTTACCTAGTTCACTGTTAAGTGTGTGGTCTTTAGGCATGATAGCCTGTGCATTTCTGATGTTGCCTCCTCCAACAAACCAATTTACATTTGGGTTCCAGTTGTTCATGTAACCACAAAGATGGTTTTCTTCAAAGTCACACTCTACAATGAGACAAGGGTCAATAAATAAGCACGCCTAACAATATTGTGTACATCTATGACTTAATTTGTGACAAAACAAAAAGATTTGTAACCCTTTTACAACAACAATCTGAAGATTTACATCCAAGTTGACTGGGATTTATTTCTGCAGATGTGTCTACATTGTGCTAGCATTTTATCTCTGCAGAGCAAAGCAACAGGTTCAGTCAACTGAATGCCTGAGTGACCAACACCAATCAATAGTTGGAGAAAGGGACTCACATTATTCTGGGCAGTACTAGGTACTTCACTCAGCTCCTGGCAGATGAACGGAAGGGAAGCAAATGGAAAGTAAAGTATGCTTAGCTTGGGAAGGTGGAAAAACACAGGTTCACTTTGATTCTGCTCTGTATAGCAGTGTACAAATCCAGACATGAAAGTTGGATACAGTGGCAACCTAGGTGTCTACCACTGGCAACCCAGGAGTCTACCACTGGCAACCCAGAAGTCCACCACTGGCAACCCAGGAGTCCACCACTGGCAACCCAGGAGTCCACCACTGGCAACCCAGGAGTCCACCACTGGCAACCCAGGAGTCCACCACTGGAAACCAGGAGTTTACCACTGGCAACTCAGGAGTCCACCACTGGTAACTCAGGAGTCTACAAATGACAACTCAGGAGACTTAAGCAAAGGCCCTCTTTTGTGGTTCCCGGTCTTTGATTTTGTAGGCAATACTGAAACTCTGCCATTTTGACTCAGGAAACAACTGCCTGTATGTATTTCATGTTATCTTAAAATCATTAATTGTTGTGGACTATGTAACCCTTTTTGAATTTTTTCTGCTCGTAACTTGGTATTGCTCTGTGTCCCCCAATCTGTCTTGGTGATCACTGCCACTGAAACAAAAAGCTGTGGATAATTCAAAATTTTACAGTTGTCACAAGAACAAGAGATGAAAGTAATTTTTTTCTGACACCTGCTATGGTGACTATTGTCTAAGAGAGGAATTCTTCTCATGTTATAAAGATTTCCTCTTTCTTCCTGTTTTATGATCAGGAATTGAAAGCAAAACAAAACGTTTTGGCTGTACACACATTTTCATATCTTTTTCAAAGAAGAAAGTAACATTTGAATTATAGATGTAAAGGTGGTTTAAAAATGCAAAGGAAAACACAAGGAAATAGTTTTTTCAGGCATAATAAATGCACCCTAATCTACATAAAGTGCACATATCTGGTGTGATTGTACTCAAGAGAACTGAACAAATATTGTTTGGAGTAATTTCCTCAGGCTGTGCTCATTAGTTCCAAATAACTACAGGGGAGATTGTGGGAAAAGCCTAATTTATAATTTTTTCAGTGCTAGATTTCACTAGTATTTTACATTTAATATAAAAAGATTTTTACATTCTATTTACTCAAAAGAAGGCTCTGTGAAATGTGTCCTTGTTACAAAGGTATACTTTAACTCCCAACTTGAAGGGGTAAATCTAATTGTTTTTGGTGTCCTATGATTACAGATAGCTTTAAGGATATGATTTCATCATATTTGATATCCTGTTTTAGTTGCTGTGATACAAATATTTCAAATGTAAAAAAAAACTTTTTTATTTAGTCTAATATACAAATATTATACATACCAATGCAATATCCAGTAGTCATTTTTAATTCATAAATTGCAATACTGCTATTATCATCTGCTCCGAGTATTCCTTCTAGTATTATCTAGAATGGAGATAAAAAGCAAGAACAAAGCATAATAGGATAAAATGGTCAAACATTTTATGTGTTCCTTACCTGACTCCATAATAGTATTCATCATAATACACTTGCAGGATTACTTAAAGTGTAACTAAAGGCAAAACCCTTTTTTTTTCAGTTTTGGATAGAGTGCAGAGGGATTAGAACACCTATCAGTTTTCACTGCTATCTGTGCCCCCTTTAGGGCGATTCAATCGCTCTACTTGTCCTGTATACTGTTATTATTAAAAATTAAAGTAAAAGAAAATCCCATATTTTAGATTGACATCAGAACACTAAGGCTCCATGCACACTAGCTCAGAAAAGGCTGGATAAAAACCGCTGGTAATAGCGGTTTACAGTAGTGATTTAGAAAGGTTAAGGAGTGTAAGCGCTGTATTAGCATTTATACAGTACATATGGAAAAAATATAAGAAAAATGCTGTCAGGAGTGTTTAGCTTTTCTTCTGCTGGAGAAATGCTCCCAAAAACTCTACAAAAACTTTTTTTTTCTACTCTAAATGCTGAAGCTTGAAAAATGCTACTATCCTAAAGTGTGCATGGACACAAATGATAACATTATTTAGCTTGTAGGAGCATAAAAAAAAAATGCTAGCGTGCATGGAGCCTAATAGAGAACACTAATAGAGGGGAAATCTTCCAATCAGACACAACATCTGGTAACCCTAGTGACAAATAGGGATTCCCTCACGTTGTAGGGATATCCTCTCACTTCCTGTTTTGGCTATGGGACAGGAAGTGAAAAAAAAAATCTCCCCAACGGGAGATGTAAAAAAAAACTGAAAGGTTTGCCTTTAGTTATACTTCAAGCAATGGTGATACTCACAGTAACCAAGCAAATGCCACTTTTTAATCAGAGCACATAGAAGGGTAAAATTGATTACTGATCTATCACTATAGGTTGCTTTACTTTGGATATTTCTATTTGTCTTATTAAATAAATAACTACAAAACATAAATAAAAGCACAAATTGAAATGAGGTACTCTAAATTAAGTAATACCAGCAATAGTCTTCATAATGTTTTTGCTCAGTTTTCAGACTATGTCTGGTAAACTGCCATAATGTATCATTTTACTCAAACTACAACAAAAAACTGACATCAAATGGATGCCCCATGTAGGTTCGTGCAAATCCTTCTAATCCTATGCACTTCCTGTCTAGTAATAAAGCTAAGTGTCACTTTCACATGGGGGTTTCTGCCTTAGGTTAAGTGGGATCCTACCCCCAGCACATACTGTATATTAATCCACTATATCCTGCCCCCATATCTATGTCATATCCATGTCAACACTGGATGGCCTCTCCAATACACAGAGCTCCCCTACTCACATTGTATAAAAAGAGAAGAGCAGGAGGCTTCTTGAACAAATTACGTTGTACACCCTCAGTTAAAAAACTCTTATTTCCCTTTCTGCTCTTCCCCCAAGAATGGAATCACCTGGAGCCCTGAAAGTTGACTTCTTTACTATAGAGCTCACCCTTGGTATCTTCCATACATTACTGTTGGTCAGTGAGGCTGTTCAACATAGTTATAGACCAATGAGATGCTGGAGGCAAGAATAGGATGGGCCCATTCTCAATTTTAAGAGCGGAGTTCAATGTTTTCATAACTTTGCCTTAAAATTTGGGCTCCCATGGGACTCTGGATGCCATTTAAAGCTAAATGCAGGAACGGCTAGATAATTTTTTTTTTCTGAACTCAATTTGCTTACTGTAATTTAAAATTCAAGTTTATTTCAAAGTTATGCCTGTCATGTAAATAGGCTTTGCAGCTAAAGCATAACTCATATAAAATACAAAATACATAGATGTGCGCTGTTTTAGTTGAAAAGATATTGGTAACTCTTATTAGCTATTCTTGTAATTTAAACATGCCTACCAAACTGTTTAACCAGTTATTAATATTGTTCATTTACCTTGTACCTTTTTGATGTAGTTCTCAAATCAACACTTGCTATTAGCCAGCCATCAGACTGTTCTTGGGTAGACCACAGCAGATAATCAAAGCTCTCTCCTTCAGGCTGAAAAAAAACATTCAGCATAGTTGGGCTGGGAGAGAATTCCATACCAGTTATCTGGTAAACCAGTCTCAGGCAGCTCCATTCATCAGGCTGCAGGTCAGGACTGACGAGGACAGCTCTCTGACCTTGAGTCCCATGAGTTGTATCCAGTGAAATATAATGACCTAAGAAAACAAGAACAAGTTACCAATGGGGTGATAATTTAGTTGCAACAGTTTAAATGAAAGTAAAAAGAGGCAGATTGGCAAAGATATGATTCATTACACAACTGCTACTTTCTAACTGTAAATCAATCAAATTCACTGGGCCCCGAAAAAAGTATTGTTATATCCAATATAGAATCAATTACCCACTGCTGATACTTAATAAACATTTATAAACAGGTGAAAAATCATCAGTGTAAAACATCCAATAACATTCCACAGTAGCACAAATGTAAAAATAAAAAAATATTCAAGTTAAAAAAAAAAAAAACTAAATAAGCCACTAAACAATGTCCATAAAGTGCCTGAAAAGTGCTTAAACTCATTCCAAGGAAGATAATATCTGTGAATCCACCAAAGAGAATGTGCACATCCCTCTCCCTTTAGAGTATCACTCACCAGACATAATTTACATTCACTCTCCTTACTGGCAATGGTGAAAAGGAATGGTGATTAAATTCCACCTCAGCAAATTACTTCCAGCCTCCAACTCTTTCCTCCAGTTCACAAACTATTAAAAAATGTAGGGAAAAAGAGAAACACCTCCAACGGTGTAGTATCTCAAATTACATCCCTTTACTAAAGGAAAGCCACTCACATTTAACATTTATAATAATCGCTTATCACATAAAAATGGTGTCAGGCACAGGCTATAACAGTATCTCTCCCCCTCGGGATGGCCATTACATCACTTTCGCTTCCTGTCCTAGTGTCACATCTAGTTGCTACGTAACCATGCCCTGACTTGTTTCATCACAACTGATTTCATCACATCTATTTAGAAACCCTGCCAAGTTTTTATTGCTGGCTGTTTCCCTGCTGGGTCCTGATGATCATTTTCTCCAAAACAGGAAGAGATAGCAAATACAAAGTTGTACTTTGTTTTACGCCAGAATAGTAGGTGACGGGAAATCTTCCAGTCAGAACACACCTGTCCAATTATGACTGTCTATGAGGGTAATCCCGCTCCCTTGGTAGTTATCCTTTCAATAAACTAATATTGAATAGGTAGGCACTGTGCAATAAATTAAAACAATTCAAAGAAATTATGAAAAGGGGACAGACAGTCCCACCGTAACACTATGTGCAGTGTAATGATATCTTCTTATCAATATTACCCAATAAGGTTCTTGTATATATACAATAGTGACCAATGAAAAATCTTCAAAAAATCATAAACATCATATGAGTCCATGTGCTTTCACTACGTGCCAACCATAAGTAAATGGTGATATGAGACATGAGTTATGACAGTCCTTTTAGGACACTATGCTGGTGACAAAAGTCCATATATCCACACCTCAGTGAAAAATAAGTGAATGGCTCACTCACTGGACCTAGATAACCCCATTTAAGTGGTCAAATAACGCATTTTGGTAATATAAGCCAGAACATCCACTTTCAGCTTATCCTAGGATGGTCTCAGTCACCAACACTTCAAAGATCAAGGACCAAGAATAATGATGAAAGATTGCCAATATGTTCCCCAGAGATGAGAGGGGAGGTTACAGCAGTTAATTAGTTTTGTCATGCCACTCAAAGAAGCCCCCAAAAAATGATGGCATTCTAAGTGCAGTATTTATTGTATGAAAGCACAGGTAAATAGATTGCTATACACTCACATGTAAAGGTGCCTAGAAAACCTTCACCAGTATGTACAGCCTGTGTAGTCAAAAAATGACTGATGTGCATTCCAAGACTTCCTGAAGATGCCGCCAGGCAAAACGTACATCAAAGCTTGATTCTGTCACTTCTGGATTCTGGTGACATCACATCCGGCCATAGCGAGAGCGAGGCTTGTTTTCGGTAAACATTACAGTTCTGTCCCCTGTCAGCTTCTGCACACTGCCTTGCATGGCTGTGCATAGCACAGTCATGCAAAGCAGTGTGCTTACAATGAAGCACTAACACAGGACACAATGTAAAATGGCACACAGCACACAGTTAACCTTTTGATCGCCCCACATGTTAACCCCTTCCTGCCCAGTGCCATTAGTACAGTGTCAGTGCTTTTTATTAGCACTGATCACTGTATTGGTGTCACTGGGGATGTTATTGACACCAAGTCGGTTCCCCCCAGTGTCAGAATGCCCACCGCAGTCCCACTATAAGTCGCTGATCGCAGCTATTACTAGTAAAAATAAAAAAATTAAAATCCAAGTATATATACCACCATTTGTGAATGCTATAACTTTCATGTAAAGCAATTCATTTACATGTATTGGGATTTTTTTTAAGCAAATACATGTAGCAGAATACATTTTGGCCTAAATTTATGATGAAATTATTATTTTTTCACTGGACATGTTTAATAGCAAAAAGTCAAAAATATTGTTTTTTTTTTCTCAAAATTGTCGGTCTTTGTTTTTTATAGCGCAAAAAATAAGAAACGCACAGGTGATCAAATACCACTAAAAGAAAGCTCTATTAGTGATAAAAAAACAGGACGTAAATTTCATTTGAGTGTAGTGTTGAATGACCACGCAATTCTCAGTTAAAATAACACAGTGCTGCAATTCAAAAATAGACCTGGCCAGGAAGGGGGGTAAATCGTCTGGAGGGCAAGTGGTTAAAAATGGTACATACTGTATCAGTTCTCCAAGGATATGACAACTTTTGAGGAAAACTGTACAATGTACTGAGTGCTCCCAATTGTAGTAGTTATCAGTAAGTGGCACTGGAACTTGTGTGCAGCTTTATCAAGTATTAAAGTATTCTATACAGCATATATTCAAAGGAGATTGATGTCACAGCAAACAAGACATAACCTCAGATTTCCAAAATACACTAAAACAGCACTCCTGGTATCTCCTAACAACCTCCTTTGAAGCATTATATTTCCTATGGAATCACAGCCAAATTGTATTAAATAATCCGCCACCTACTACACAATATGAGGCTATACTTCTGTGTGGTGTTACGTGACATGGAAATTTTCCATGTCATCTAATGTAATATAATACAGCACAAGACAGGGAGTTGCTGGTTCACAGTTACTAGGATAAAGCTATGCAGCTACAAGTACAGAAGACATCTGTCAACATTCCTAACTTCAAATTATACAACGTGCAAGAAAGTCTGTGCCCAAAATACTCCTAGCAATTTATCTTTCCAAAATGCATAGCCTCCTAGCAAGTGGTGAAGACACAAGACCACTAACAGTAATGACCAGTTCTTCAAACACATTGAAAATCATAGGGAAGTACTCTATAACACAAATACTTTTAAGCATGTTTCACTTAGAACAGCTGGAAACCCCTCAACAATAAAACATCAGAATACTTTGCATGTTGTGCCTCCCTGAATTAGAGGTAGCTAATGTTTTCGTATCAAAATGTATACTGTAAATACCTTATTATTATCTTCCTTGAATGGGTATTTCTTCAAATGACAGCACTGTCTTTGTCATCTCGCCATGGTTTTTGTTGTCTGTGCAGTTATTGTTTATTTCTATTTTCTTCCCCATAGTTGGTTTAGCCTGATGAGCATGGACAGTTATTTTTATCCATATGAATGATATCTAAAACTTTTCCCGAATCCCAGAATTTTGTGCATGGTGCCTGAGCAAACAATCACTTGCCTTGGGTCATGTGGCAGTTGTAGAGCAGCTATTCACTCTCAGAAAGTGAGAAAATACACAGTTTCTGGGGTGTCTGGCAGCAGATCAAGTGAGAAAAGGAAAAAAAGAGAGACCTTGTAGTATCTGTTACCAAGCCTGAGCATTATTTAAAGCGGATATCTGATCACCTATAAAAATGTTTCATGTTTGTGCTTCTAACCCTAGGTTCACATCTGAGCGGGTGGTGCCGCTGTGGATCCGCGTGAAAATACGTGCAGCCGCACCACCCACACAGAGAAATGCGGACCCGCGGGCAGGTGCCATTATTTCTACTGGCACGCCACCCGCTCTGGAAAAAGCAACCATACTGAGAACCGAGGTTCCCGTACGGGCTGCATTTTCCAAAGAAGTGCAGGGACTTATTCCCTGCATGTCACGGGCACGGGAGTCTATTCAAATGAATGGGCTCTCGTGCCCCTGCAAAACGCGGCCCGCATATATGTGAACCCGTGGGGTTAAAGTCCAAGGTTCATGTGTTAGGGAGAAGTAGTTACTTTATTCCTCAATCCAAAAGGCTATCTCTCTGCTGGTTCCAGTCCAACAAAGCCAATCCTATTTTCTGGTTATGTAGCCAATCCACTTGTCAATGTCATCACATACAATGCAAGGCCAACGTCCACTGCTGGTCCTGCATTGTTTACGATCATGATCATGTTGAGGGCCTACCCACACTCCCAAGAATGAGCAAAGAAAAGCACTGACTGCCATGGAACAAGGAATAAGGTAAGTATTCATTTGCATTACACCCCGCAGACTAAACAAGCATTAAACCATTAATATACTTTACTGACCAGATTTCAAGAAGCGCCCATTTAAGGCAACATAAGGGTTAGTTTTAAAACAACAAAACGCGAGTAATTTTAACTACCTTGAATCATGGGGGATTGTTGCAAGCCAGATATTGAAATTTAGAAGATTCAGACAATAAATGCAATAAACACAATAGCAATAATTAAAGTGTTACTAAACCCAGGACCCTACATTCACTATATCTGGTCTCCTACAGTACAAACAATATGGAAGTGTAATTATTTCAGTAAACATAAACTGCTAAATACCTTTTCTCATCACAAGTTAGAGCAGTCTTGTGACTTCTTTCAATGTCTAGCAGAGCACTAGCTAAAGCTTGTAGGAGGAGTTTTCTTCTGCTCTTGGAGGATGCAAAGCCCCTGACCTCTGTCTGGACAGTGCTGATTGGCCCTGTGCTGATCACATGCACTCTCCAAAGAAAAAAAAAAGTCTCTAGCAAAACACACCAAACTGAGCATGTGCATGTGGCTACGGGTTCAGTCTGTCTTATCAGGAGACAAGACATGGACATTTAAACAAGAAGAGGGGCAGAGAAGAGGATCAAATGGCCTTTTTACACAACGCAGAGGATTAACCCCTTAGGTTCCACAGTGAGTATGACAAGCATACTTTACTGCATATACAGACTGATTTTACTAATGTGGGTTTAGTAACACTTTAAGTTGTTTTTAATAAATTCCCCACCTCCCTGAATGCAGCCCACCTGGTATAATAATTACTTTCCTTCTGGATTAGTGATGTTTCCTCCAACAAATGGCAGGCTCCTCTGGGTATCCATACTCATGGTGGCCCTTTGAGAACAGTGTACCTATAAAAATTAGGGAGGCCATGGCACGCATGTGCAGTATGAAGAGCTGCCTGCTAGGACCCTATTGGAAGAAAGATTGCTGTATTGGGGAGGAAAGTATTATCTTAGGTGGGATGCACCCAGAGGGCGGGGGGAAATGATAAAGGACACTTGGCTGAATGAGATGTTATGCTTTAAAGTGATCATGAAAATTTTATGTAAGCTTTAAGACGATATGATAATTTCAAAAGTAATTTGCAATATTTTGAAATCTGCACCTTTCATTAATATAATGACTGGTAAATATGCCACAAATGTCTTTGTTCAGGCACTTCCTGTTATAGGGTGACAATGTTCTGTCCTGTTTCCCAACTGTTCTTCTGCATGGCCATCCTTGCATACACTTTCCCAATGGGGATCATAAGTGGTTGTGCCAAAGCCCTTTGCACAGGCATGGTCAACCATTATCACCATCAAGAAACCTGCCCTAAAGAATTATGTGCAGTTATCACACAGGTACATGCATGTAGGCCAAAGGTGGCTGCAAAGAATGAAAAAAATGTGAAATCTTTACAATATTGTTTTAAAAATGCAGCTATTTATTGTACACATGGCATTTGCAAACTATTGTCATTATGTAATTTTGCAAACTTAGGTCAACTAATTTAAAGGTTTACACAGACTTTAAGGATCAAATGGGCATTAAACCTTTAGTGTTAAGTTCTGTGTTAGCTTTAAATACATACTCATACACACTTGCAATAGCTAAGCCTGTTTCTGAGGGCTCCTTAAAGAAGAACTTTACTCTCTTAATCAACATTTACTATGTTTGATCTTCATGCTGCTCGCATTAGTAAATAGATAGGAAAGTATAGTGCATCCAGAAAGTATTCACAGCGCTTAACTTTTGCCACATTTTGTTATATTACAGCCTTATTCCAAAATGGATTAAATTCATTTTTTCCCCTCAACATTCTACAAACAATACCCCATAATGACAACATGAAAGAAGTTTGTTTTGAAATCTTTGCAATTTATTAAAAATAAAAAATGAAAAAAAAAAAAACACGTACATAAGTATTCACAGCCTTTGCTCAATAATTTGTTAAAGCACCTTTAGCACCAATTACAACCTCAAGTTGTTTTGAGTATGATGCTACAAGCTTGGCACACCTATTTTTAGGCAATTTCTTCCATTCTTCTTTGCAGTACCTCAAGCTCCATCAGTTTGGATGGGGAGAATTGGTGCACAGCCATGTTCAATCAGGTTCAAGTCTGGGTTCTGGCTGGACCAATCCAAGACATTAACAGATTTGGCCCGTAGCCACTCCTTTGTTATGTGGGCTGTGTGCTTAGGGTCGTTGTCCTGTTGAAAGATGAACCATCGCCCCAGTTTAAGGTCCAGAGCGCTCTGGAACAGGTTTTCATCAAGGATGTCTCTGTACATTGCTGCATTCATCTTTCCTTCGATCCTGACCACTCTCCCAGTTCCTGCTGCTGAAAAACATCCTCACAGCATGATGCTGCCACCACCATGCTTCACTGTAGGGATGGTATTAGCCAGGTGGTGAGCAGTGCCTGGTTTCCTCCAGACATGATGCTTGGAATTTAGTCCAAAGAGTTAAATCTTTGTTTCATCAGACCAGAGAGTTTTGTTTCTCATGGTCTGAGAGTCCCTTAGGTGTCTTTTGGCAAACTCCAGGTGGGCTGCCATTTGCCTTTTACTGAGGAGTGGCTTCCGTCTGGCCACTCTACCATACAGGCCTGATTGGTGGAGTGCTGCAAAGATGGTTGTTCTTCTGGAAGGTTCTCCTCTCTCCACAGAGAAATGCTGAAGCTTTTTCAGAGTGACCATCGGTTGCTTGTTTACCTCCCTGGCTAAGGCCCTTTTCCCTCGATTGC